TAAAAAAAAAACAAATTTTATATATATTTATAGATTGATAAACGCAGATGACGAGAATTATGTTATTGTTGTTGCTGTTGTTATATTATAACCATTATTATTATTATTATTATTATTATTATTATTATTATATATTTATGTATTCGTGCGTGATGTGAAATAAGGTTTCGATACGAACAATTAGAGAAAAGTTTGGTTTGTTTTGTAATGAGAAAAGTATTTTTTGTATTTAAAAAAAAAAAAAAAAATGGTTTTATTCTTATGATAATGATTTTGAAAACAAAAAAGAGAGTGATAAGAATGATAAGAGTGATAACAAAAACAAAACACAAAACAAAAAAAGAAATTTAACTTGAATGTTAAAATGTTGGAAAATGATGACGTAACAACGCGTTTTGTTTTGTTTTGTTTTTGTCATAAATAATTTTTATTTGTAATTTTTTAAACCATTATTATTATTATTATTATTATTATTATTATTATTATTATTATTATTATTATCGGTACGACTAGTACTACTACAACTACTACTACTACTAGTTTGACTACTATTACGACGACTATTATTATCGATTTTCATTTGATGATTTTTATAGTAATTATAATAATTTTTTTTTTTTTTTTTTGCTTTTAATTCGTTGCCCCCTCCCCCCTCCCTCTCTCACCCTCCCCCGGGGGTTGGGGGTGAAAATGTACATTCGATCACACACAATGGAGTGAATAAATTAAATAATAATAATAATAATAATCGAATGTTTTTATCGTTTGCACGCGACAACCGAAATACCAGAAAAGAAAAGAAAAGAAAAAAAGAAAATTTTTTTTTCCTTGTTGACTTAATAGTTTATTAAAGGGGCACGCATTTACTTAATCGTCGTAAACGCGACGACAACAACAACAACAACCAAAAAAAAAATTTTTAACGTAACGACCGACGGGTGGGGAAAAAAATTATTATTATTATTATTATTATTATTATTATTATCGAAAGTACATAAATTATTATAATTAGTAGTCACGTTGTATAATTTAATTTTATTATTATTATTATTATTATTATTTTATTCGCCACCGAATGAATGATGATTAACGAGATGTGATACTATATTATTAGGTGTCTCGTACTTTTTTTATATTTTTTCTATTTTATTTTGATAGCTTTTTCACGTGATTAATAATAATAATAATAATGGTAATGATAATAATAATAATGGGTATCGTCGTCATCATTATTATCGGAAAAAAAATGAGAGAGAGAGTGAGGGAAAAAATGGAGGAAAAAGAAAAATTTTTTTGTTAGATTGAGATTCGGTTTCGAGCCGACGGTAGTCAATCAATCAATCAATCAATCATTGAATGAGTGAATCAATGAATGGATAACACGGGGTTGTTTTTATTTGATGTACTATTATTATTATTATCGTTTGGGTCACGTGGAAAATATTTCGATTTTTTTTTAAATTTTTTTAAAATTTTTTTTGCATTCGATTTTATTTGAATTTTTTTAATAATCGTGACGTCACACGTTTGACGTCACCACCGTTTTAATTTTTTTTCTTTGGTAAATTGACGATGACGTTTGACGATGACGATGATGACGATGATTATTATTATTGGCTGTTGCTGTTGTTGTTAAGAAAAGAAAAATTCCTTTTGCTCGTCATTAAGGAATTACAACATTTAATCACTTATTACTATTATTATTATTATTTACATTTTAATTTTTTTTATTTAAAGAAAAAAAAACAATTATTATTATTATTATTATTATTATTTCTATTCGATTGTGCTTTTATATATTTTTTATTTTTTAATTTGCCGCCGGGTTTTTTTTTTTTTTATTTGATTTTATTTTCCTGCTTCACGTAGATTAATTATTATTATTATTGTTGTTGTCATTATTATTATTATTATTAATTATTTTTATATGCATATATATATATACATATACACAATAGAAAGTAAGGAAGGAAAAAAAAAAAAAACCGTTTTTATTTTGACAATAATAATGATAATTTTTTTTGTCTTTGTACAAATTTTTGTATATATTTATACATATATATATATACACACATACATGCTTTTATTTTTGTTCAGAAAACAAACAAACAAACAAACAAAAAATTTTTTTTAAATATTTAATTACATTGAAAGTGCTGCTTGTTGAATAGAAAAAAAAAAAAAAAAATTTTCATGATTTATAATAATAATAATAAATAAATAAATAAAAAAAAAGTCTGCCTAATTTTAAATTTAATATATTTATAAAACAGCACAAAATGCCTTTGAATTATTATTATTATTATTATTATTGATAATTTTTAAAGACAAAAATTAATTATTGAACCAAGAATGATTGATTGTAAACCTTAAAAAAAAAAAATTTGATTTTGTTATTTTGTAAATAAAAACAAAAACTATGGGAATTTTTTTTTCTTTTTTTTTTTTTTTTTTGTATTTTCCTACAAAAGAAAATAAATTATATTATATATAAATAAAATTAAATGAAGGAGTAGTTAGTAAAATATATATTATTATTATTATTCATCAGTGATTTTGTTTTTATTAATAAATAATAATAATAAACTTAAAAAAAAAAAAAAAAATGGTTTGTTTTTTTTGTTGTGTAATTGCAAAAACAAAAAAAAATTATGAAAAGTTATGAAAAGGAAGGGAGGAACGGGGGGAGGGGGGACGGGGGGGGGGTAGTAGATAAAATAAAAGAAAAAGAAATTTTTTTTATATTGTTAAAAGTAATGATATGATTGATAATGATGATGATGATAATAAAATTGATTGATTTGATTTTTTTGAAAAATATTTACATCAAATTATTTTTTTGAGACTGTTTGTTTTGTAAAATTGTTAATTATCATTAATAATGTAATAAATAAAAAGTTGATAATATTTTAATTAATAAAAAAAATAGAAACAAATAAATAAATAAAATTATGGATTATTAATTTTGATGTTGTTTTATTAACCTATATTTATATATATGTATATCAGTGGACATTTTGTTTTGTTTTGTTTTTTTTTTTTTTTTTTAATTTACGGTTGGTAACACTTTGTGCGATTACGTAAAAAAAAGTGACGAGTCATCATTTATTCAATGTCGCGAGATAAATAATGTAAAACTCCGAGCAGGGAAAAAATTTCCCTCCGATAATTAACCTCCATTATATTGTTTACGTTCTTTTTCGTTCTAACGGAAAAGTAATTTTATGTGTAACAATTCACAATTAAAACGTTTTAACGATCGTATCGCGTGTTTTATAACGATTAATTGTTTTTTTTTATTTAATAAATATTGTGTAAATATTAAAAAATGTGCGGGGGATAAAAGAATAAGGAAATTATTTTTAAAAAAAAATTGTTTTAGATTCTATGGTAATGATGAATGTACTTAAGCAGGTGTTCTGTTTAATTTCATTTAATTACATTTATTAAATGATGATGCCTGTTTTTTTTTTTTTAAATTTTTGTAATTCGATGTCTCATATTTTAAATATTCATGTACGTATTGACCTTTTTACGTTTTTATTGTTAATTTTAAACATTTTTATATCCCACGGGTTGGGGGATAAAATTTTACACGTGATGACGTCATACGTCATCCATGTTCTTTTTTATTACTTATACATAAATTATAATTTTTTTAGTAGTGCGTTGTTATAAAATGGCGTCGTGTTGTATTTTACCGGTTTTTTACATGATTAATAATTGATGTTACACGTTCCGGAAGGATGTTTATTAATCTGGACAACGAAATTATGCAAGTTCAAATGGAAACCATGACATTTGACCGTTTTCTTTTACTTACTTTATGTATGGATGGAACATAATGGAGATGTAGGATGTAAGTAAATAAAAATTATTATTTAAAAAATATAAAATTTTCAGTCTTCATTTTTTATTATATAACAAAAAAAAAAAAAAAAAAAGAAAAGTATATACAAAATAAAAATAAAAACGTTACAAATTTTTATAAAATATCACCCATAAAACTAATATCTCGGACAAATTTATACAAAAATTATTAAGGGCTAATTATTATTATTATTATTATTATTATTATTATTAATAATATTTTTTTTTTTTTAAATCTTATTTTGTTTTATATCAGTTTAAAACATTGTATAATTATTCCAAAACTACAAGTAAATCTTCAGCTTCCATTTTCATACCTTTTGTTACTTCAACAGATTTTATTTTACCAGCAATTGGACTTTGTACAACCATTTCCATTTTCATTGCTGATAAAACAATTAGGGCTCCTCCTTTTTCAATAACATCTCCTGCTTTAATTTTTATATCAATAACTTCACCTGGCATTGGAGCTCCTATTTCTTTTTCATTTCTTTTGTTTGCTTTTGGATGTAAGTGTATTTCCTAAAATGAATTAATGAATGAATGAATGAATGAATGATTGTTTTCAATGAATACTCCTTATCATTGTTTTGTTGATAGCTGCCTATATATATATATGTATCTATTACCTTAACAGCTTCCTTATCTTTAACCATTACAGATCTTAGTTGTCCATTCATTTCAAAAAATACTTCTCTTTCTCCTGCTTTTGTTAAATTTTCATTCATGGCCAAAGCTTTCACACTTATTGTTTTCCCCTTACTTATAGATACCTTTTGAACAAAGTAATGTTGTGATTATTATTATTTTTATGTAGTAAGTTTAGTGTTTGGTTGTCTAAGTGATAAGCTTAGTTTTTAGTTGTATAAGCAGTAAGTTTAGTGCTGAGTTGTCTAAGTTGTAAGTTTAGTGTTGAGTTGTCTAAATGATAAGTTTTGTGTTTGGTTGTCTAAGTAGTTAGATTTGTGTTTGGTTGTCTAAGTTGTAAGTTTTGTGTTTGGTTGTCTAAGTAGTTAGTTTTGTCTTTGGTTGTCTAAGTAGTTAGTTTTGTGTTTAAAAGAAAGCTTAAGGTATTCAAAAAATATGCTACTCACTTCAAATTCTTCACCAACTTTGGGCCCTGTTAAGAATATTCTAGTTTTTAATTTATCAACAGGTCCAAAACTTTCTCTAAATGTTAAATAATCTTCTGTGACTTTAGGGTAAAGAGCTGCACTCATGACATCACGTTCCGTTATGTTATCATAAGTGCTTTCAAGGGATTTTTTGAGATTTTCAAAATCTAAAGGTTCCATAGATGAACCAGGTCTACCTTCAACTCTAGGCATGTCTTTCAAAACCTGAAATTTGTTTTTGCTTTTATTAAATTAAAAGAAGCATTTTTGAAAAAATTCAATGTTGGAGTTGGGGGTATGAATGAAGAATACCTTCGATCTAAATGGTTCGGGAAATCCTCCGTAAGGTTCTCCAATAGCACCTTGTAAAAATTCAATCACAGATTTTGGAAAACTCAAATCTTCTGCTTTTTCCAAAACAGCTTCTTTCGTGAGTTTATTTTGCACCATAAATTGTGCTAAATCACCGACGACTTTTGACGAAGGTGTGACCTGTAAACGAAAGAAAAACTCGTGGTGACGTCATTTAATTTCGACAAAAATTTACTTTTTTTATTGGTTTTTTTACGACTTGCCTTTATTATATCACCCAATAATATATTAGCTTCGCCATAAGCTTTTTTAACATCTTCGAAAAATTGTCCTAATCCTAAAGAATAAGCTTGAAATTGTAAATTTGTATATTGTCCTCCGGGTATTTCATTCGAGTATACATCGGCGTTTCCTGATTTCATTGTCGTTGTGCATTCGAAAGGTGCGTAAAGTGTACGAGTTTGTTCCCAATAAGCGGAATATTCACTAACGTTATGTAAATTGAACCCTTAAAAAATTTATGCTAATTAAATTAAAAGAAAAGCAAGAAGAGGCGTAACAATTCCAAAAAGTTAAATGAAACATGGCGTACTATTTTTATAAGTATTTACCTGTATCCTTTTCGTGACCTTTTAAACAAGAAACAAGAGCCCCTAGTGATGGTTGAGACGTCATACCAGACATCGAATCCACTGCTACGTCAACAATATCCGCACCAGCTTCTGCACAGGCAAGCATGGTTGCAACTCCAGCTCCTGCCGTATCGTGAGTGTGTACGTGAATAGGCACATCAGGATGTTTATCTTTGATGGCTTCGATTAATAGTTTCGCGGCGCGAGGTTTAAGAAGGCCCGCCATATCCTATTTAATTTTTATTATTATGTAATTATCATTTAAATTAATTACTAAAAAAAAAAAATTTTAGTTTACCTTGATTGCTAAAACGTGCAATCCAGCTTTTACCAATTCGTCAGCCAATCCTACGTAATATTTAAGATCGTATTTTTTTTTATTCGGATCCGATACGTCACCCGTATAAGAAATGGCAGCTTCGACGACTCCACCTGCTTTTCCAGCAGCTTCCATTCCCAAAACTAAATTAGGAACGTAATTTAAAGAATCGAAAACCCTAAATATATCCATTCCTGTTTGAACGGCTAATTCACAAAATCTAAAATGATATATGAGAGAACGAGTATAAAAAAAAAAAAAAATTGTTTTAAAAAAAAAAAATGGCAGCCATTGACCTACTTAAAAACTACGTTATCCGGGTAATTGGTATACCCGACAGCATTGGCACCTCTCAACAACATTTGAAAAGGAATGTTTGGAATCAATTTTCTCATTTCTTCGAGACGTTCCCACGGACATTCGTGAAGGAATCTCAATGCTACGTCGAATGTCGCACCACCCCAATTTTCCAATGAGTACAATCTGAAATTTTAAGGGGGGGAAAAAAGGGATAAAACGAATTCGTTTTTCTTGGGGGGGGGGGAGGTGATTCAAAGGTTATCATATTCGTACCCGCTGAAATATTTTGCTACGTATGGAGCTATTTTTAGAAAATCGTAGGTTCTTACTCTTGTCGCCAAAAGACTTTGATGTGCATCTCTAAATGTCGTGTCCATAAAAAGCAAACCTTTGTGATTTCGTACGGCTCTTACAAATCCATCAGGTCCTTCCTTTCTTAGTATATCCTTAAAACCCGGTGGTGGGGGGTTGACTGCGTTAAAAACAAACAAAATACTAATTAATAATTAATTATTACTTTTCTTTTTACGTTAATTAATATTATTTTAACAATAATTTCAACAAGTAGTAATTTTTTTTTTTTTTTTTGTTTTATTACCTCGACTAAGCAACGGGTTCGGATCAAACATAAAAGCAAAACAATAAAAAAAAAAAATTTTTTTTTAATGGTTTTCGTAATAAAAAAAAAAATAATAATAATGTTTATAATAAAAAAAACAATTTTGTTAAATTATTAGTTGCAAGCGATTGTATACGTGTATGTGATAAAATCTACGTACCTGATATTAAACCGTGAGAAAAATTAAATTTTTTTTTTTTTTTTTTTTTCTGGATAAGTTATCTACGTAACTCGTAAAAAAAAAAAATGTTTAATACTAAAACTATCAATGATTTATTATTATTATTATCAATTATGATAAAAAATTTAATTCAGGATTAAAAAAATAAAAAAAAAAAAATTTTCTTTGGAGTTTTCGCTAATTATTTCAAAAATTTAAAGTTAGATTACCGTTTCTTTTTTTTGGGGAGGCGGCGGGAAAAAAAGGGGAGGTTCACGATCCTCCTTCGTGGTTTTAACTTGTTGTAAAACTCGGAAAATTTTTTTCTTTAAATAAAATATTTATATATAATACTCACAGGGAAGAAGTTCTCCTTCCTCGTCGTATTGTGGTTTAGCATTTAAATCTGAAAATTATTTCACATCCATATATTATTACTCAGTAATTTTTCAGACCGTTTTAAACTCTTTCTGGAAATAATTTAACTACTAACTACTACCACTACTATTACTATTACTACTTTAACACGTAAATTTTCTTTTTTTTTTTTGGGGGGGGGGGTTCTTCTAATTGCAAAGCGTTAAGTACGAGAAAAATTCAAATTTTACACAAATTACGCACATAAATTTAAAATAAATTTTTTTTTTTTTTTTTTTTTCATTTCCGGCATTTTGTAATTTTTCACAAACATTTAAAGCTTTTTAAAAAAAAAAAAATTGTATAGTTAGTATCAAAACAAACACTCGAATAAAAAAAAAAAACAAAAAACCTTTTTTTGCACGTTTTTCAATAATAAAACTTGTGCGAAAAAAGTTTTTTTTAACAAAACAATCGAAAGGGAAAATTTATTATTATTATTATTATTACTTTCGACTACGTAATGAAAACAACAAACGACAAAATGGTGGTTTGCTACGAAAAAAAAAAAAAATCGATTTAATTTAAAAAAAAAAAAATGAAGCCACATAAATTAGCCGTTAATTTACATACAAAAAAAAAAAATAAATTTCTATTTTCTAGAATTTGTTTGTTTGTTTGTTTGTTTGTTTGTATATATCTTACCGATTTCGTTTCAGTTTCGAAAGTAAAAATAATTGGGGAAAAAAATAACATGCCGGGATGCTTAAATAAATTTGTAAAAAAAAAATAATAAATGGGGGGGGGGGGAAAAGAAAAAGGAAAATTTAATTGATTTTCTTTTTTTTTACCTGCAGGTATATCCGGAACGTAAGGCTCGATATCGGCGGGTTTTAAATTGGTCGCCAAAGGAGTTTGAGGACCGTTGACGAGTACTTCGGCAAGGTATGTAAGTAATTTTTGTGCACGATTTTGTGAAGGTTTGAAAAAAAACAATTGCGGGTTTTCGTCTATGAAATACGTATCCACTCCTCCGGCTAAAAATTTTTCATTTTCTAAAACGTTGAGAAGAAATGGTATGTTGGTCTGTCGGGAAAACAAAAAGAAAAATCGAGTTTTAATTTTTCGTTGAGTTTTTCATTGGTGACGTCACATAAAAAAAAAAAAATGTTTTGTTTCCCCTTACTTTTACTCCGCGAACACGAAATTCCATTAGAGCTCTCCTCATTTTAGCACAACAACTTGGCAAATCTCGTGCGTGTGATATTATTTTAACTAATAGAGAATCGTAATATGGAGATATGAAAGCTCCAGCATAAGCAGAAGCCGAATCCAATCGTATACCCATCCCTTCTCCCGACCTGAAAACTTCGATCCTTCCCGTATCAGGTTGAAATTGTTTGGCCGGATCTTCCGTCGTCATACGACATTGTATGGCAAATCCCTGAAGAATAATTAATATTTAAATAATTTTTAATTTCGTACCTTGTTTGTACTAGAATTTTGTTATAAAGTCGAGTCACACACGTACCTCAACACCGATCTTATCTTGAGTTAAACCTAATTCGGGTAAGGTCATACCTGAGGCGATTTGAATTTGAGATTGAACTAAATCTATCCTGTGTATTGCGTGAATTAAAAAAAAAAAAAATTTTTTTTTAAATAATTCTGGATTTTTTAAAATAATAATAATAATAATAGTAGTGGGGTGGTGGCAGCAACCTACCCGGTGATCTCTTCCGTGACGGTGTGTTCCACTTGCAATCTTGCATTGACTTCGATAAAATAAAAATTACCGGCACTATCGCATAGTAATTCAACCGTACCTGCATTTTCATATTTTACATGTTTAGCCAAATTAACAGCGGCTTGTAACATTTTTTCTCGTACCTGTAAAAAAAAAATTTTCTTTTATAATACTGGAAAAATATTTTTGGGGAAAGATAAGCGAATAAAATCGTAACAAACTTTAGGATCTAAAAGTGGTGCCGGTGCTATTTCCACGACTTTTTGATGCCTTCTCTGAACGGAACAATCTCTTTCGTATAAATGAACGACATTTCCGGCTTTGTCACCGAGTAATTGTACTTCTATATGACGAGGCCTTTCGATAAATTTTTCTATAAACATGGAACCGTCTCCGAAAGCTGACAGAGCCTCCGAACTCGCTCTTTGGAAATTTTCTTCAACTTCCTGCGAACGCAATCACGTGTACACGCACATATAAGTATATTTAGTAGAGTAAGACTATAGTATTAGGTAATTATAATCAGATAGATAGATAGATAGACAGACAGGCAAATATGAGTGTTCATTTCGAGCACTGGAGTGCTAACGGAGACTAACGGAATATTTTTTTTTTTTACCTCCATTTTTCGTACGACTCTCATACCACGGCCCCCACCTCCAAAAGCAGCTTTGAATATAACCGGGAGACCATGTTTCTTGCAAAAATCCAAAGCTTCTTCTGTTGTTTTTATCGGACCTGGAGTTCCCGGTACAATAGGCACACCTTTTAACAAAATTTTAGATAATTAAAACGATTCCAAAATCCATTAAAAAAAAAAAAATAAGGTGGCCAAAAAAAAAAAATTTTTTTGTTTTTTATTTGACTGTCTGCATATCTCTTAGAACTAAATGTAGGTGGATAGGGTGACGATGCCATTCGTAAAATATTCTAGAATTTACCTGCAGCGATGGCTGCATCTCTAGCAGCTACTTTATCACCCATTTGTTGTACAACAAAAGGAGACGGACCGATAAATCTGATTCCGGCATCGATAACGGCTTGTGCAAAATCCGATCTTTCCGAAAGGAAACCGTAACCAGGATGAATTGCATCGACATCATTTTCCTGGACGAAAAATAGAAAAAAATAGAAAACCTTTCGTTAGTCATTTTCATCATCATACGAGGCTGTGGTTCGCAAATAATTTTCCTTGCCTTAGCTATTCTAATAATTTCTGGAATGTTTAAATAAGCTTGTACTGGAGGAAGGCCTTTTCCTATTAGATAAGCTTCGTCGGCTTTTGATCTAAACATATGATGCCTATCCTGTTCCGAATAAATAGCCACTGATTTTATACCTAATTCTGTACATGCTCGAAAAACACGGATTGCAATTTCACCTAAAAATTTTAGAGATTTTTTTTTTTTTTTTTTGTAGTTAAATCAAAAGTGTTTTGGGTCGTTGCAAAAAAAAAAAAAACGAAAGGAAGTCGATTACCGACATTAGGTCAAAAGAAAACGAACGAATTTTCCTGTAAAATACGATCGATTATTGATCAGGTAGTTATAAGCTTAACGATAAACATAAAAATTAATGACGTCATCATTTAAAAAAATATTAAGGTATAAAATAAATCGATTCTAACCTAAAAAAAAAAATTCAAACAAGGTTTTCTTTTTATATATATATATCATTGGAGATCAAATATTGTATTTTTCACATTGCTTTAAGGTACGGCCTACTAATACCTTGAGTGTCTTGATCTAATTAAAATCGTATGTGTGTGCGTGTGCACGTGCGCGTTTGTTTCGAAACATTTTTGGAAAACGCGAACACTTCGCGCGCGAGAGATTTTTCTTTCCTTTTTTTTTTTTTTTTACGACGACTCAAAACATTTTTTTTTTTTTTTTTGGGGGGGGGGACGGTAGTAATAATAATAATAATTGTATTTCGTAAGGGATCATATATGACTACGTACGTACCTCTATTTGCCACCAAAACGCTCCTTATCGGCTTATATTCTATTTTAGATGAATAATTTTTTTTGTTTACATATTTGTGAGCATGTTTGATATTTCGATGCCCAAAGGCCGGCCGAGTCGTTGCCGCCCTGATCATATTCAATTAAATTATCAACTACGTCAACGTTTCGACCATCTGTAAAATTCATCGCGAAAATCCCTTTAATAGTTTCACTGACATTTTTCATACATTTTGAATTTTTTTTTTAAATTTACAAAAATATATACAAAACATTTTACAAGTTTTTCAAAAAAAAAAAAAAAAAATTAAAAATAAATATTTACAAACTGGGAAAATTTTACTAAAAGGCTGTGGGATTCGCGTTTCTCGCGCCTCGCGTCTCGCGTGTAAAACTCGCGGTCGTGGGTTAATTTTTTTAAATATCATCATTATTATTATTATTAGGACTTTCACTTTTGATCGCGATCGACTCGTGTTCGAGTTTTTCTCCATTCCAGAGGTTTTTATCCGATACCCCTAAGGGATTCTCTGGAGTTGAAAGATCCGGTGACGTCATTATTGAAAAAATAGGGCATCCCGGCGGGGATTTTCCATAATTTCTCGTACGGTTTCTTTTGTAATTAATTGAAAATTTTTTACGGTTTTTTTTTTTTTTTTTGATTTAATAATAATAATAATAATAATAATGAGAAATTTTTTTTGGCATGGCGCACCGCGAAATCAGGTTCATCGACCTCTTTTTTCTTTTCTTTCCTTTTTTAAATACTCGAGTGATTATTGTTGTATTCGTCGGTCAAGGGTCAACGTCTTTATTTTTTGCTACAAGAAAGATTTATTTCGAATGAAATTTTGCTATCGTAAAAAAAAAAAGATGGAAGTTTGAGTCAATGTTAAGGTACGACGAAATTAAATTTTTTTCGCATGGAAAATTTAGGTTTCGTAATTAACTAATCGATTAACGAACGAGGGTTTTTTTAAAGCAAACTTGAGAAATATTTCTCTAAGAATAATTATTGCGAAAATCGTACCTGAAATTTTTGCGAAATACAAAAAAAAAGGTTAAAAATTTTAAAAATGAAACCCCCCGAGGAGGAGGGGGGGGGGGAAAAAAGGAAAGAAGTCAAAAAAAAGGGCGAAATGATAGGAAAATGTGAAAAGTTGTACCGGAAAATTCCGGTTTTTCGAAACCCAATAACACAATCGCGCGAAAATGATTATAAAAAATTACAGGAACGGATTCTGATTAGATTTTTTTTAAACCTGAAAGAAAACCTGAAAGGGATAATACAGAAAAACTTTACATACGAACGATAAAATTAAAAATTTTTTGTACGTTTTCCATTAACACCGAAAAAGAAATCACTTTACAAAATATTACATTATCATTATCATCATTATTATTATCATTATTATTTGTTTGCCCTGGGTGACGAATTAATAATTTATTTATTATTTAAACAATTAATTAATTAATTAATTAATTAATTTTGTGGAAATTTAAAAATTTGATATGTGGTTTTTAAATAATGACGTCAATAATATAGAATAAATACAAACCGTTTGTAGGTTGTTTGTAGTTTGTTCGTTAAACAAACGATTAAACATTTTTTTTTTTTAATACAAACGAGTTTGATTATATAATATTTAAATCCTCTCACTCACGAATAATAATAATAATAATAATAATAATAATAATAATAATAATAATAATAATAATAATAATAATAATAATAATAATAATAAAACGAAAAGTACCCGAAAGGGAGGACAGTCTAGTGTGTTATACATATCAAGTTAATTTTTCGACGGACGGTAACAAAAGGAAAAAAAAAAGGAAAAAAATGTCGGCCTTCAAAATATTTGAATATGTATTATCTTTCTTACGTAATTTACACACGCACGCACGCACACACGCACAATTTCATATTAAAATTTATTTGGTTTTGATTTGTGATTTTTTCGGGTCGTTCAACTAAATCTATGATTATTATTATTATTATTATTATTATTATTATTATTATTAGTTTACAAATCGTATTCTTAATTACTATTATTATTATTATTATTATTATTATTTCAGGTGCGTCGTAATGATTTACAATCGTATCCGGGGAGACACACACACACACGGGAGAGGGAGAGAGAGAGAGAGAGAGAGAGAGACATAGGGAAAAAAAAGGGTAAATAGATAAAATCCATTTAATAAATTTTTTTATGTTTAATTATAAATGAAAGGTGTATAAACAACGCGGTCTTGTTATCAACAAAAGGAGGGGAGGGGGAGAGAGAGAGAGAAGGGGAAAAGGGGAGGTAGGGATTTTCACTTTTACGCGTGTGTGTGTGTGCGTGTGCGTGTGAATGTTTTTTTAAAAAAAACTTTGAGTTCAAAATTTTAATTAAAAAACGGAAAAAATGAAAATTGAAGAAAATAATAATAATAATAATAATAATAATAATAATCAGCCTTGACTTATTACTCGTTATTAGTTTTTTTTTTTTGTGGGGAAAATTTTTTTTTTTTAAAACCGATAAGAATGATTTTTTAGTTAGTTTTGACCTTTATGCGCAATAGGTGGATAGTTTAATCTCTTTTTTTATGTTTTGGACTTTAATTTTGAGAGAGAGAGAGAGAGAAAAAAAAAGAATATAATAATAATAATAATTTGATTCGCGTTGGAAAATATTACCAATAATAATAATAATAATAATAATAATAATAATAATAATAATAATAATTAAAAAAAAAAAAAAGCTTTTTGAAATTATACATAACTTTATCATTGAATGAGAGATACTACTACTCACTTTATTGCAAAAATTTATTTACCAACGACAACAAAAAAAAAGGATTTTAAACGTTTATTATTATTATTATTATTATTATTATTATTATTATTATTATTATTATTATTATTATTATTATTATTATTATTACTATTATCATTATTATTATTATAGAGTTTTCGTTAACGTAAATGAGAATTTTAACGGTTGCCATGTCGAAAAAAAATTTAATTGATTCGCCGACGTCTTTACGATAAATATCGCTCATCATTATTTATCATTCTATATTATTATTATTATTATTATATATTAGTTTAAACAAATCTCGGCGGTGGCCAAATTAAATTTTTCACGAATTTAATTATTATTATTATTTATTTATTTTAATAATAATAATAATAATAATAAAGAAGGGAGGGAAATTTCGAGTTGGGGTCGTCGTTTTTTTTATAAAATTACATATTCGTACGAACGTAACGTAAAAACATTGTAGAATCCAATGTAATAATTGATAATAATAATGATGATGATGATGATGATAATAATGGAGGATTTCTAACGTAAAACGTGTATGTATTTGAAATTTTTGCACATTCATCGCGTGGTCAAAAAAAAAAAAAAATTATTCTCATGCGGTCGCATTATTCAAAGTTCGAACGAATGAAAAAAAAAAAAACGTTTTTCTTACGTAATACAAAAAAAATTATTATTATTATTATTATTATTATTATTATTATTAATATCACGAACTTAGTAGTAGTTGTAGTAATACATTCGATTGTTTTATTTATTCACGATCGCTTTTAAATAATAATAATAATAATAATGACATTAACAACAACAACAACAAAATAAAAGTAAAAATACGAACCAATTTAATAATTTTTACCTGTTTTAATATATATAAATTAAAAATTTTAAACTAACAACAAACAACAACAACAAACACGACAACAAACACGACAACAACTTATTATTATTATTATTAATATTAATACCCCGTTGAAATTCTGATTTATTTCCAAAAAACGATCTATACGATTTATTATTATATAAAAATAACTTGATTTAAAAATAATTCGTTAACGTTAAAAAAAAAAAAAACTATTAAATTAACTATTTAAATAATTTAAATAAATTAATAAAATAAATAAATAAATAAATAATAATAAATAATAAATAAATAAATAAATAAATAAAAAATATTTAACTACAAAACGACGGTGATTAGGAGTTAAATAGTTAACCGTGTCGTACAATTTTATTCGAGCGACGACCAGTTTTCTACTGTTTGTGTGTGAATGTTGAAGTAAAAAAATTTCTTACTACGTTATCTGACGTTCACAGTGCGCTCACTAACCGACTGAGAAAATAATAATAATAATAATAATAATAATAATAATGATAATGATAATGATGATGGTAATAATGGGAGACTATGTAGTAACAAACGGGCTCGATGACGATCGTATCATCAGTCATTTAAATAAATTTTATTTACTTATTTATTTTTTTTTCGAATTCGAGTGAGGAAAAATGGGGGGGAAAATTCTAATAGTGTACCTGATTGATTGTAAATATTATTTTTGTACGATTTTTTTTTGGGGAGGGGGGGGAGAGGGGAATAGGAAGAATTTTGCGTGTTCCTGTCGTGCGTTTGTTTATAAATTTCAGTTAAATATAAATTTGCTCCTGTCGTCGTTTGACCTTTTCATATATGCATCGTCTGAATAGTAACCCTGCCAATTTTTTTAATTTTTATTTATTTTTATCGTACAAACAACAAACAAGTTTTTGTTTGTTTGTTTGTTGTCAAAAATAAAAAGAGAGAGAGAGATTTACCTTTAATTTTTTTTTTACGGTTAAAAAATTTTTTGTAATGATTTTTTTTTCTCATCTCCCTCTCTCTCTCTCTCTGACTATTTATCCATCTTTCTCTTTATTTATTTATTTATTTATTAAGTATTATTATTATTATTTATTTATTTATTTAACACCTTATTAATATCGACACAAATTAAATCAAGGTGATTGGAAAACGAGGTTTTTCCCAATACAAAATGTCGACAAATTAATAAATAAATAAATAATTATTGAAAAAAAAAATTTAATTATTATTATTATTATTATTATTATTATTATTATTATCACTATTATTATTATTATTATTGCAGTAGGTTGTTGTGCGTTTAACAAAAAAAAATAAGAAACTTTCAAGGGCGCCCCAATTTATTGATTTTCACACGGACATTTAAAAACGTTTATATATATATTAAATTTCATTTAAGATTTTCATGTATTTAAATACCAAAAAAAAAAAAAAAATTCGGTTGTTGTTGTCGTTGGCGTTG